TCCGCGCACACCCCCCTCCCCCATCCGTGCACACCCCTCCCCGTCTGCGCGCCCTCCCCCATTTGTGCCCCCTCCTCCCTTTTGCGCCTGTGCTCTCCCTGTTCCGTGTTCGCTCTCTGTTACACTCACTCTCTATCTTCCACTAACGTGCTCCGTTTAAACATGCTTTTACTGTTCTGTCCAGTGGTGCTGATATTAAACATCAAACGTGCTTTTTTTTTGGATGTCTTCCATCACTTCCTCCCTTGCTCGTCCCTTTTATCCGCTCCCCCCCACCCCCGCCTTCTGCACCTCCCTCTGTTCCTTGCTCCCTCCATCAGAAGAGAAATTTCAATTCAACCCGAAATGGCTGTCAGTTGAAAAGAGCAGCAGGACCTGGCGAACACTGTTCCCAGCCTCCCACCCCCTCTCATCACCAAGTGACCCGACCTTCCCACGGCAGCGAAATCCCAAACCCGGTCAAACGGAGGCGGAGTGGGAGCCCAGAGCAGATACAGAACCACCAGGTAAACTGCTTGGCGTCAAAGTGTGCTTTAGGAAGGATGTTGTGCAACTTGTAAGGGTTCAGAAAAGGTTTACAAGGATGTCGCCAGCGTTGGTGGGTTTGAGCTACAGGCAGAGCTGGGGCTATTTTCCCTGGAGCGTCAGAGGTTTATAAAATCATGAGGGGCATGGATAGGGTGAAAATTTTTCCCAGGCTAGGGGAAATACAGGGCATAGGTTTAAGGTGAGAGGGGAAAGATTTAAAAGAGACCTAAGGGGCAACTTTTTCACGCAGAGGGTGGTGCGTGTATGGAATGAGCTGCCAGAGGAAGTGGTGGAGGCTGGTACAATTACAGCGTTTAAAAGGTATCTGGATGGGTATATGGATAAGGTAGGGTTCAGAGGGTTATGGGCCAAATGCTGACTAATGGGTCTAAGCTAACTTCGAATCCCTGGTCAGCGTGGACATGTTGGACCAAAGGGTCTGTTTCTGTGCTGTACATCCTTATGACTCTAAGTAACTTTCCAAAGGCCCCAATTAATCTCACACGAGCTGTTGGACAGCTGAATAATTGGCGACGTGAAGGCCTGTCTGCTTTATAGCCACTGACACTGAAAATAACTAAATGACTTTGCTGCCCCACCCCCAGGGACCACTTGGAGTCTGTTTACAGTGAAGTTTCTGTAGCTGGGCGGATGCTTCTAAAACCTTGGTTATCTGGCCATTGAAATGAATGAGGGGGAAGATTTTATCCAGTCATGAGCCACCTTATTGCAGCTTTGCGTGTACATACCTTGCTGATCCAGGGTGAGGTTTACCATCTTGGGTGCTTACTACCCCTCTGGAAGGGGTCACTTGTAGCCATGAGGACCGGTGCCCATTGGGTCAGGGACAGGGAGTGAGGGGTGCCTGGTGATCAGGGCATCAGGAGACAGTCGGCACTAACCAGTGTCTTTCTTTTGACGGCCAGGGGCATCATTCAGGAGCACAGCAAGTGAGCGACCCAGCTCATCCCAGTTTACCTTCCAATGGCCAGTACCCGGCACAGAAAGCGAGTCCCTCGTGGCCCCAAACGCACAAAGATTCCTGGACATACGGGAGGAAGGAGCTCAGTCTCAGTCTTCAGGTGCCTCCTCCGTTCTCTTGCGATAGGGTTAGGGTTATGAAAATAAATCTCCCTGGACGTCCCAGGTTCGTACCACCCATCTTGGTCTCTACTATCGCCCTTGACCCACTCAACGATGGGCAGTACCCATCTCTTGATTGGGTGAGATTTACCCACTGTGGTGCCCCTGGTTAATATGAAGTGGTGATTGTCTGGGATTTGGGAGATGAGGCCGTGGTAAGGGTCGGGGCTGATGTTTCATATGGGGCCGGGGATGGGGGATTGACGTCAGGGGTGTTAGAGACATTAGTTCACCACAGTCTGTCTCTGTCTCTCTCTCTCTCTCTCTCTCTCACACACTAGGAACAGAGGAGGTCATCCTCCGGCACCCCCCCTCACAGCAGCACCTCCTCGTCTTCCTCGTCTTCCTCGTCCACCTCCCACAGCAATCCCAACATCCGTCCTGTCACCGTGGCGACGGGCCCACCACCCGCACAACAACAGTCTCTCTCCCAGCAGCCGTGCACAAGGGGCGAGGTGAAGGAGACGGCGTTGCTGAGGCGGAAGGCAGACAGTGGGCAGTCTCCCAGCAAACTGGGAGGCACTGAGCACTGGAAGCCGCAGCAAAGTTCAGGCCCCACCACGGTGAGTACCCAAGGCTTTACAGTATCTCCCCCAGCTCTCCCGGTGCCCGCTTACCCATCACACAGGGACAGGAGGCCATTCAGCCCCGTCTCCTTACCCATCACACAGGGACAGGAGGCCATTCAGCCCCATCTGCTTACCCATCACACAGGGACAGGAGGCCATTCAGCCCCGTCTGCTTACCCATCGCACAAGGACAGGAGGTTTCTCCGCTACCTTCTCGAGCCTATCCACAGGGACATGCCATTCAGTACCCCCACCCCCCAACACCCCCAAGCCTATCATACAGGGACAGGAGGCCATTCAGCTCCTCCTCGAGCCTGTTATACAGGGAAAGGGAGCCATTCAACCCCTCCACTCTAGCCTGTCACAGTGGGACAGGCCATTCACTTTCAGCATTCTTCTTAACACTGTGCCCCTGCCCCCCCCAACCACCTCCAAGCCCCTCTCACAGGGAGAGGAGGGAGACCGTTCGGCCCCTTCACAAGTCTGTCACACTGGGACAAGAGGCCATTCGGCCCCTTTCACCAGCCTGTCACACAGGACCAGGAGGAGGCCATTCAGCCCTCGCGTTGAGCTTTGGCGTGTGTCACGTTGATGTGTTTCGTTGCTGGACGTGCTACATGAACGTAAGGAGTTTGTTTATTTCAGTCACTGAGTTTTCTCTCATTCTCTCTCTCTCCTCCCCATCCAGCTTCCCCACAGTTTCCAGAATCCACAAGGCAGTTCCCTGGGCCCAACAGGGCAGCTGGACCGAGTGTCCCAGAGTCACCGGGAGAGTGTGCATCGCCCAGATGCCCCAGCCATTGCTACAAGTGCCCCTGTGTCACCCAGCGTCCCACATTGTACCCCTTATGGCAGCAGCTCCCCTAAAGGGGCATGGTGCAGCCCCCAGCAGGGCTCACTGGAGCCCGGGGAGAGCTGCCAGGATACAGAGCCCTGCGGCTGGGCTTCACCCACCGGCTTGGCCCAGTCTGGATCAGAGGGGCAGTCACCTTGCCAGGCAATGCCTGCCAGGGAGGAGGAGCGAGGGCACGTGGCGACAGTTCAGAGTTCTACCCCAGACCCTCCAACCGCCTCGGAGCCGAGCTCCAGGGCAGAGCTGAGACCCGCTGCCAGCCCCTGGGAGGGTGAGGGCATCGGGGGTTCAGCCTGCTCCGGCCGCGAGGCCCCACCTCCAGCCGTGCCCCCCCTCCATCGGGAGGCCGGTTGGACCCCCCAGCCCCGCATGCCCCCCCTCTCTGGGCCCCACCGCACCCGCACGGATGAAAGCCAGGGCCCAGAGCAGGGGGGGCTACCCGTTGAGGCCCACCCCGTGGTGCCCACCCGAGGCTTCGCCTCTCCCCCTGGCCTGGCTGAGACCCCCGGCTCCAAACCGGTGCCCGAGGGCCGCTGGCTTCCCAAACCTCCTCCCCTGACGTGCGCCCTGTCTGGGAGGCCGGCTCCTCCCCCTCCCCCGAACCCCCGGCCGGCCCCCTGCCCTTCCTCCGAACCCCCAGCCAAGGGCCCGGCCACCCCCCCGGACGGCGAGATGTGGATCAAGGCCGTGTTCACCACCGAGGCCCAGAAGGGGAAGGCCAACGGTGCCCACCGTCACCGCCACCGTCACCGGCGCTGGCCCCCGGCCCAGGAGGCGAGCGAGGAGGCCGTGGAAACATCAGGCCCTCCTGGCCAGGCCGAGCCAGGCCCCCTGCTGCCTCCAGCTGGGCACCGGGAGGAGCAGCGCCGGCGACTCGATCTGCGAGGGAAACACTCGAGCCGGGAGAGGAGCCGCAGGCGGAACCGGGGCGGCCGGTCCGGCAAGGGCAAGCAGAGGCGTATCCTCGGCAACATCGACTTGCAGAGCAAGGAGATCCTGGCCCGCCACAAGCTCAAGGCCGAAGGGCCCAAGGGGGCGAAGGCCGCTCCCCCACCCCCGGCCCCTGAGGAGCCCGAACGGGCCGACGCTCGGAGGCCAGAGGTGGTGCCGCCGACGCCAATGCCACCTCCTGCTGCCAAAGAGCCAGAGGCCGGGCCGAGGAGCACCTCCAACATCCTGAGGGTCAAGCCTTTCCCTGAGGGCACCACCAAGGAGCTGAAGATCAAGCTGGTCAAGGTGGAGAGCGGAGACCGAGAAACCTTCATTGCCTCAGAGGTGGAGGAGAAGAGGATTCGGCTATCAGACCTCACCATCGAAAACTCTGGAGCGGAAATTATCCGTGCCTGCAAGTGAGTCCCACTTTACCCCACTTTACGCCCCTGCTCCCCGCTCTCCGGGGCAGGGGAACAAACAAACAGGGAGCCTCCAGAGGCGACTGTGCAAGGGACAGCCCAGCCACTGTGACACAGGGAAGGAGACGGCCATGTCTTTGTGATGGCCTTTACTGAGTTTCCTCCGTTCGCCTTGCTCCCAGTTCGAGTAATGGCTCAGAGCCTTGTGCATTGCTCTGGAACCAGCTCGGGGTGGGGGGAGTCGGGGGAAGGGGGGTGTCCAGGATCAATCAGGATGCAGAATAAGAAGGCGGGCCCTCTGCGATACCTCAGGTGTACAGAGACGTTAAGAATGTTGGTCTTTACGTCAGGGGACAGTAGAAAGGTTGTGGGAGACCATTCGGCCCATCGTGTCTGTGTTGGCAAATCAACAACTGCCCAAGCACAGTGTGTGTGAGTGAGTGACAGCACGTGTGTGAGAAGGTATGAGAGAGGATTCAGTGGAAGGAGACCAGAGCGCGTGCACTCACTCTCCGTGAACCCCCCCGCACACGTTTCCCTTTCAGATAACTGTCTCATTCCCTTTCAAAAGCCTCTATTTGACCCTGCCCCTACTGCACTCTCAGGCAGCACATTCCCAACCTCGACCACTCACTGTGCAAGCCACTGCGTCTTTATATCCATATCCCTCTCATTCTTCATCCTCCCTCCAATGGGAACAGTGTCACCCTTTCGACTCTCTCCAAGGACTCCTCCTGATTTTAAATACCTCGATCAAATTTCCTGTCAGTCTTCTCCAAGGGACACAGTTCCAGGTTCTCCAATCTATCCTTATCACTGAAGCTCCTCATCCCTGGAGCCATTCTCCTGAACCTTTGCACGTCCTCCTGAAGTGTAGGGCCCAGAACTGGACACAATCCTCCAGCTGGGCTTGAACCACCGTCTGGTACAGGTTCAGGGTCACCTCCTTGGTCTTGTACTCTATGACCCTGTGGAGGTATTATTCACCATTTTTTAATTATCCTGACCATATTCAACCCCACTCCTTCTACCCTGCACCACCTCAGAATTGTATCCCTATTTTGTATTATAGAACAAAGAAAATTACAGTACAGGAACAGGCCCTTCGGCCCTCCAAGCCTGCACCGAAATGCTGCCAGTCACAACTAGAACCCCCTATCCTTCTGGGGACCATATCCCTCTATTCCTATCCTATTCATATATTTGTCAAGACACCCTTTAAAAGTGGCTATCGTATCTGCTTCCACTCCCTCTCCCGACAGCGAGTTCCAGGCACCCACACCCTCTGTGTAAAAAAAACTTGCTCATACATAACCTTTAAACCTTGCCCCTCGCACCTTAAACCCATGGCCCCTGGTAACTGACTCTTCCACCCTGGGAAAAAGCTTCTGACTGTCCACTCTGTCCATGCCCTTCATAATCTTTTAGACCTCTATCAGGTCAACCCCTCAAACCCCATTGTTCCATCTTTCAATATTCTTTGTACCAACATGGGAAACGTCACACATCTCTGCGTTAAACTTCATCTGCCACCTCTCTGCCCGCTTCACCAGTCTCTCTCTGTCCTTTTGATGTTTGAAAGTATCTTCCACGCAGTTTGCAATATGCCATGTTTAATATTGTACACTAATTTTGCAAACCTAGCCTAAAACACCCGAATAAGTGAGAATAACTGCAGTCAATAAAAACCGAAAGAACTGAGGATGCTGTAAATCAGGAACAAGAACGGAAGTTGCTGGAAAAGCTCAGCAGGTCTGGCAGCATCTGTGAAGGAAAAAAAATCAGAGTTAATGTTTCGGGTCCGATGACCCTTCCTCGGAACTGCCAGACCTGCTGAGCTTTTCCAGCAACTTCCGTTTTTGTTGTTGTTAATAACTGCAGTCGGTTCTGTGCACTTTCAGCACAGATACAGTCAGTAACACAGGCTACTGGGGATGAGGGGTT